ATGATTTCCTATTTCGGATTCTGGACCAAAGAACATTTCCAGTTGCAGGTATTAATTGGCAGACAGAGTTGACCTGCTTGTGGTATGAAAGGGCAAGTTGCTGGGTTAAACTGTTCCAACAGCCTGCGGGTGGACAGATCCAAACTGCCTCTGCAGGAGCGTTCGGCTCTCACCGCCTGGATGACAGGGGCTCTGGGCCACGCACACCTGCTCGGCTTATCCTGTCTGCCACCCTCCCCCCACCCGGCTGGTATGATTCCTAATGTGGGAAAACAGGCCCACCCGCTTCCCCACCCGCCCCAGCTACTGCACTCCTGTCTGCCCATGTGACGAGGCACAGGCTGAGCAAGGTGCCCCCACCTGCTGAGCCAATGTCTCCCTCGGAGCCTGGCCACGGCCACAAACCACAGTTGTACACAACACACCGCTGCCCCCGCGGCACACGCTGCCTCCCTCACTAACCCTGCTGTGTGGCAGGTGTGGGCTGTTGTCCCTGGACGACAGGGCTGCAGACGGGGCGAGGCCACCCTCCCCTTGACCCTTGGGGCCAAGCAGGCTCCTGCTGGAAGGGGCAGAGTCTGGGCAGCAGCTTCCCAGGGGCTCCTGTGGGCTACGAAACGTCATTTTAAAAAACCCCAATATAGAACTCTGGCTGCAGAGGCCGATGAGGACCCAGCCTCGCTGCTGTGCTGCAATCAGCCTCATGTGATCAACTGCCAGACCCTGTACTTGGCAAGTGGCAAACCCGAGCCAGGGGGTCGGGCGGCCCCGGCGGCCTCTCGTGCCTGGGGTCCTGTGTAGAAAGGTGGTTCTCGTGGATGGACTAGACTTGAGTGGAGCTAATTTTCAAAGTGAGGTTACTGCTTCTCTTCTCATGTGATGAGTTTTTTCATAACAAGTCAGGTAAAAAATTTTGTGAAGATTTTCGTAAGAACCTGCTCCCCCACCCAATGTGCTCGGTGGGAGAGCGAGGCCACCACCCAGCCGAGCCACGTGGCAGATCTCAGCAGCCTCCTGTGGCCCAGGCAGCGTGGCCACCAGGCATCCTGCTGCTGGGACTAAGGACAAGTGAGGAGGTGAAAGGCCGGACATGAACCAGAGTTTTGGCAGAGCCGTGTGCGGTGTGGGGACTGAACACCAGCTTCTACTCCTCGACTAACTCAGAGTCTCCGCCTGGAACCCTTTCCGCTTAAGGCTTTTTGTAAGTTTGACTCCAGCAGTGACAGGTGTGTGTTGTTTTAAATCCACTAGCCATGCTCAAAAAAATATTCTTCATGTTTTAATTTTATACAATGGCTAGCAGGCACCTTAGTAACCAGCCAGAAATCAATTTCAACCACCATCAACCCCTAAACTACAGTACCAGGATGGCTGGCTAAAGAAAGGAAACGGACTGGCTGTGGTCTGACGCGTGCCCAGTGAAGGTGTCTGGCTGACTCTGTCCTAAATAAGGCTAACATCAGTGAACTAAGAACAGCGTCACGGGCGGCCGTGCTGGCCTTCACGAGCACCCCTCCCCAATGCGCTGGCAGGAGCGCCCCACTTTCCGGTCCAGTTTCACCATTTTCATGATGGCTTCCTCTCGGCCTCGGCCCATGTGGTCAAACGTACAGTCATGCTGCTCGGGGAGGCGATGTAACATACAGAACACGTAACCTGCAGAAGCGCAAGAAGCAGAGAAAACAGAGGGTTAGGGTGGCTTCCAAATGCCCAAAGCCTGGCTCTCACTCTGTCTGGAGGGCGGGAGGGGCACCTCAGTGGGTGGACGGTCACAGCAGAGGCCGCCAGCTCAGCATTGTCCCTGGAACATCCACCCAGGACACCAGCATTTCTCGGAGGAAGACAGGGAGCAGCCCAAGTGATGATGTTAAATTACATTCTACCTCCTGTACAGCTAGGGCTTGGGGGATTGTGGGAGAGCTCAAACCATAACCTGCATGTGAAAGGGGCTCTCAAAAAAAAAAGGATTATTTCAGTGCTAGAAAAGGTGTGACATAAAAACAGAGGACAAAACAGAAATGCTGAGCTCCATCATCTCCAAGGGGCCTGATGCCTCTAAACTCCACTTGGCAGGCAGGAGGCTGAGGTCCTCTCTCTGGAGCAGGGAGGTCCGAGGGGGACACTGGTGAAGCTGGTAGAAAAAGGATGGGGGAGGGGCTGATGCAGTCCCTCTGATGGGAAGTAACGAGAGGAGGCTCAGAGGACAGAGGGAACATCCCTGCATCAGAATGTGACCAACCCCTCCCCTCGTCTGATCAACTTCTAGGAAGGCTGGTGGGTACGTGGATGTGCAAGGTGGATAGACACCTGATGCCTCCTGAGCCCTCGCTTTGGGGTAAGAGGTGGTGCTGGGAAGCCCCTGCCAGTGCTGGCTGGCTCCTCCTCCATCAGCTGTATCTCGCCACACCTCAGGGTCCCACGGGCCTACACCAGGCCCACAGGACCAGCCTGTGGTACATGCGAACCCACCCCTAAGCCTCCTCTCCCTGGCCTGGAGCAGCCCCCCCACAGCAGCCCTGCCGCCCCAGGGCTCTCCTCACTCTCCAAGCAGCACCTCTGCTCAGACTTCTTTTCTGAAGCCTAGACTGATCCTGATGGCCAGGAAGCCACCCCTTGAAACGGAGCTGTTCATCTCCACACCCTCAATTTCTGTTCTTTTCAGAGACAAGGGGTAGAGGCAGTGATTTCAGAAGAACAGCAGAAGTTGGAGCAAAGACTGAATGGCCAGAATGAACGAAAGTTTCGACAGCCTTAACTTTTAAAAACAAACTTCACCCAGAGAACATTCCTTTGCTGCCCTGAGCTCCTGCATGCACGGGGCACGGGCCGAGCCCGGACCATCCACTGTGCGAGAAAGAGCATTACTCACTGCTCCCAGGGAGAGCTCGGCCATGTTTCACTCTAAATTGGATTGGGTTTAAGGAAAGGAACAGAGATGAAATTTTGTCTCCTGAGAAGCTGAGCTCCCACTTGGTCCAAAGGCAAAGTGAAGATTAATGAGCTCACGTGTTCTATTTACTGATGAGTTCATTACTCGAAGCTATCGAATACCAGCTGCCTTTCTCCTAAGGATTTCCCAGCAGAAGCGTGGACGGCACCCCCCACCTACCAAGCACAGCAATCTTTGTGCAGCAGAGCCCACCTGATGGGGGGGAAGCAAGTATGACCAGGTATTTTATTCCGAGCGTCTACAGTGAGGGGTGGGAGGACCCCTGCTCCCTCCCTTCCCTTTCTTTAAGATATTGGGGTGATGCAGGAGAATGTCCTAGGGCTTATCTCTCCTGATGAATGGTGCTCGTTGAATAAAAGTAGCAGGAAATGGATTGCCCGTGAAATTTATGTGGACCTGGTTCAGGCTTACATCTCACGAGGCAGACTGGAGCGGAGGGAAGACACTCCAGTGTTGTCCTACCCACGCACCCTACAACTCTGCTTAGCTTGCCTTCCAACAGCTAGGGGGTAGCAACTTAGTGGATCTGAGAGCCCCAGGGGTGACAGAAACTTCCACATATTCTCGCTACCCGCCCATGGATTCTCCATCCAACCCAACACCCCTCATTTCTCTACCAAGTTCTGTGAACCTCTATTAAACACACATTAGCACCTGGCACTGCATTTTTGAAAGGTGAAAACCACGGACCAGCAGCTAAGTTTGGGGGTGGTGCTGGTAAGAGGAGGGTCCACAGCATTGTAACTCACTGGGCAATTTGGAAAGCTGGCTTCCCAAGTGGCCGTGCCGAGGTTACTAGAGGCTTAGTGAAGCTCGGTTCCCGCTCCTGTGAGGATCACTCATCGGGAGGAGGGTGCCCGCTGGAACTTGTCCCAAATGCTGAACAGGTATTACCCACTGACAGCAGCCCATCGACGACGACGTGCATTGCAGCGTCAGTAGTGGGATACAGGGAGGGTGGGAATGACTCGGGGAGTGGGACGGGCCTTTATCCTCGTTTCCTGGTACCCACAGATCTATTTCCAGAAACCAGTGCTAGTGCCATGGACTTTCGATGACTCTTGGTGGAATTCTGGAGAATGAGCTGGGTATGGGAAGATGCCTGCTCCTAACCTCAGTGATGAGCAGTGAGAGCACAGGGGACTGGCGGCCTCCACGCTGGCCAGGCCGCCCTCCACACCGTTCACCAGAGCCTATGGCAGCCTCTCCAGAGAAGGTCAAACAAGGCGTGTCCAGAGGCACAAACACAAGGGACTGAACTGAGCAGCTGCTGTGGCCCAGGCTTTGGTGTCATTACACAATTATTTCCCATGATTTTAAAGTTACATATCACCTGGCCGGCGTGGCTCAGTGGTTGAATGTCGACCTATGAACCAGGAGGTCACAGTTTAATTCCTGGTCAGGGGATGTGCAGAAGGCAGCTGATCAATAATTCTCTATCATCATTGATGTTTCTCTCTCTCTCTCCCTCTCCCTTCCTCTCTGAAATCAATGAAAATATATTAAACAAAAAAAGTTATATGTCAACGTTAAAGTCACTTACTTATTCACATACACACAACCCATATCTATCACTCCCATTAGGCCCCATAGTTCAGCTTCATGCACTTTTCAGGACAAGTCAGTATAGTATACTTTTGCTAACGAGAGCTGTACTTTCGTTACCATGCAGTGCTTTGGAGGGATTAGGAGAGATAAAGGGGAGGAGGATATGAGTAAAAGGATGCTGACCCCCACAAGAGAGGAAAACGCCCAATGAAAACGTTTTTGAAGCTATGACCTGCCTGCTAACTGGGGCTGCACCTCAGCCCTTGCCCTGCTGGGTCACAAGGACCATGTCGTGGAGCCCAGGCAACTGGTCTGCGTGGAGCACTGGCCGCGGGGGAGGCCGCAGGCAGAGCTCCTTCCCAGCTGCCAGAGGTGTTTCTGGTAAATCTGCACAACACACTCAGGAACCTGTGTGGGCATGTCTTTGCTCGCTGGCACGAAAGCAATTTGGGATGAGCCCTTGACTAAACAGGGAGTGAGGGGAGGCCGCAGCTCTGTGAGCATGTCCCACGGCCTCGCACTCCGGGCCCCTATCTGCCTGCCATTACCTGGCACCTGACTGGCCATCGTGGGCGTGGGGAGAGGGACAGGAGGCCAGACCACAGCAGGTGATACCAGGCAGCGCCCTGGTGAGCTGGGCTGGAATGCCTCCAGAAGGTCTCCGGCAACTACACTCTCAGGACGAGAGAACCTTCATTAACTACGGAGGCAGCAACAGGGGAGGGAGAGAATGCCTGTGTAGACAGCCACCGTGGCTGAACCACCAGGGGCTCATCCCAGGGCCCTGCACATACCTGTGGCTGTGGGCGGCAAGAGGTGAGGAGAGATCAGGAGCTTCCCTGACTATCATCATCAGAGACAGATTATGGCATGAGGCAAAAACACAACCTGACACCTGTCTAACTCTCTGTCCCCAAAGGGTCCTGTGTGAAAGAGAAGCGCATACGCCCTGAACAGAGGCCTGCGGGTGCTCGTGGGAGGACAGGCATTTCAGCGGAGGGTGCCGATGGTACAAGCAAGCGTTCTGGACACGGCCATCCTGACGCAGACCTGGGGCCGGGACCACCGAGCCATGTGCCACACAAACCTGAAGATGCCCAACGCGATGGCCCTGACACGCATTTCCAGCAGAAAATGGGCCCGAGGCTCATTCTCCCAGGATTCGGAGTTCTGACATGTAGGTTTCTAAAGACGCTCATTTGATGGAAACCAAACTTCTGACCTGACCCTTTAGCTTTTCAAGTGAACACCTGAAAGGCACACAATTCATTCAGATGAGCTCACCCACTGCTAACCCTCACCTCTGCTGACCAGGGTATTCTAAGACGAAGCAATGATGATCAAGAACAATGTGTACAAATGCTGTCATTAGGCAGAGATGGCATACACTCAACACCTTGCTCTCAGTGCTTTGAAAGTTGCTGCGATATTTGTTTCACTTACTTGTTTACAAAACCCAGCAGCAATGGCTGCCCCAGAGGAGCACCAAGACAGAGGCCTCGCCCAGGGCCCCAGGAGAGTCTGTGTCCTCCACAGCTCAGTTCTGGCAGGCAGGCCTCGGAGCAACTGAACCACAGCAGGCCTGTCCTGCAGCTCCCTGCCCTGCCTCGCTGCTCCCTCACCCACAGGCCTGGGCAGTGCAGCCCCTACCTTTGGCTGAGGCCCTGGGCCCCCAAGCCAGCACTTCCTTCCAAACCCTAAGAATTAAAGGGGTTAGAACTATCTTTCTCTATGGAATTACCTAAGGGAGACAAAGAAAGGGCACCCAGAATTCACATGCAAAGTCTGAGCCCTTGTCATTTTTATTCGATCCCCGCCAGACTGAAATGTTGCTTTTAGACTTTGTCTTGGAATAAAAAGCACAATTTAAAGTTGATAGAACTGGGCAGCTCTGGACACTTTTGGCCTTAATTAAACAGCTGTTTCCTTGAAGCTTCCCCCAATTTGGAGGCCCCCCTTTTAGTCAGGGCAGGGACCAGGGACCAGGCAGGCCTCGGCGCCAGTGCTCGGTGTTTTTACCTCACTCTTAAGAAATGTTTTACACTTTCTTGTTCATTTGAATTTCAAATTGTCCAAGGTTCAAGCAGAATCTAAAAATACCAACAAGCTTTGGGGACCCAGGCTCTGTAGACCCACCCACTGGAGTGCAGCCTGAGCT